ACCTTCTGCCCTTATTCTCTCTGCGTGACCTGCTCCTCTTTCTACCTACCTATGTCTGACAAACTTTCCTTGTAGGGAAAAATCATTCTTAGCTGCCAGAGTGTGATTGAAAGTGAAACAAAAGCCATCAGACACTTGGAGTACAATTAAATGGAAAAACAGAACATGAATAATTCATCGAGCTTTGCCAGGGGGAGGGGGGCTGGTAAATGAGTCTAATTATACTTCTTCCCAAGAGAGGTCAGTCCTGCCATGGAAAAAGCACTGCCTACACATGGGATTCATGCAGCTGATTCCAAAATAGGGCTAGGGGCAGCACCTTGGGGGTTAATCCTCAAAATGAAATGGTGTTCCAGGGTCATACTCAACCCCTCATTTTGCAAATAGGGGAAAACAAGGTTTACGGATGGAAATGATTTTTGCATATGGAACTGAACATTCCAGAGAGAGCTAAGACCCGGACACCTGGCCCAAGACCCACAACTTCCAACCCAACACTGGGCTTGCCAATGTCAAGGCCACCGTGTATGGTTGAGTGTCTCAAAGTCCACAGGCATGTGGCCACTCGGGTGGGAGCCCTAAAGGCGTATTTGTTTGGGACGTTAATTACAGAGATACAGAGGCCTCCCCAGGGCTTCCCAGGTGGCACAGTGGCAAAGAATCTCCTGCAGTGCAGGAGACAAAAGAGATGCAGGTTCAGTCCCTGGGTTGGGAAGATCCCCTGGAGGAGGAAAATGGCAGACCACTCCAGCATTCCTGCCTGGAGAATCCCATGGACAGAGGAGCCTGGTGGGCTCCAGTCCATGGGGTCACAGAGTCGGACATGACTGAGTGACTAAGCATACACACAGAGGCTTCTCCCCACCTGCTTCCCTAGTCAGGAGTCCATCTCCAGGCTCCTGCTCAGTAATGTGACCACACAGATTTAGCAGGGACAGACCTCCTCAATCATTCGCCCCTCACGCCCCCAATAGCCAGCAAGGAGCTAGACACCCACAAGGAGAGCCTTGTCCTCAAGCAGAGCCAGGGGTGGTGGAGAAGCCGTCCTGAGGCCAGGTGGTGGTGGACCCGACTGGATGGCCACGCCCTGAAGGGCACTGTGCTGTCCCAGGTGGCGGGGATGGCTGTGGCTTCAGGGGCACAGGTTGGCCGTGAGCATGCTCTTGTCTTCCTCCACCAGCATCACGTGGAAATAGGTCCTGTGCGTCACATCATCTTTCCTCAGCACCCACTGCATCTAGGCCTTTGTTTGAAACAACAGGAGATTCCCAGAGTGACGCATGAGTCCTAAGAGCCATGGTTCAGGGCTGTTGGTGGGACCCAGGCATCAGGACTCTGCCTCCTCAGCCCATAGGGCCCCGGTCCCTGTGGGTTCCCCCTCAGCCGGCTCCGGGTAGCTCTGGTTCAGGCATGTTCACTGTGGAGCCTGCAGGCCTGATCAAGTCCTGTGGACTCAAGCCATCATGGCCTTGATCCAAGTTCTAGTGAGTGTCTTCAGAAGGCTGGCCAAAGCTGAACATGGTAGTCATGAGGCTGTCAGAAGGGCTGTTAGAGAGAGGTGGGTCATGGGAAACAGAAAGTGGGGAGCAGGGACTCTGTGATCAAGCAAAAGGCCACACTCCTTTGCTTGACCTTGGCCCCTGTGTGAGTCTGAGGCCAGGATCTGGGAACCTGGGAGAGGAGACTTCAAGATACCACACTGCCTTCTCTCTGGCCACCAGTGTCCACAGCCTCCCAGGTTAGAAAGTGTTTTATAAACCCCAGCTTCAGTCTCCACGAGCCAGAGACTTTGGACTTCACATCTCTGCTCCTTCTCTGTTGAGCTCGGTTCTAGACCATCCAGAACATCTGGAAAGGAGAGAGAATTTGGATGCTGATTCAATCAAGGGGGTCAGGTGACCCTGAAGTAACAATCAGAAAGTCTCGGAGATGACCAGAGCCCCCTCATGCTACGAGTCCACCACAGGTCACCTGAGGCTTACGGCCCAGCACGTGCTGCCTCTCAGAGCTTCGGCCTGGAAGTGATATGTGTCACTTGTTCCTTCTGTCCTCCATTCATTGACAAAAGCAACAAGTCATGATGACCTGAGTCCCCTGGGGTGGGGGGACGGCTCCCCCTGGAATGCTCAGCGGACCATCTGCAAGGCAAGCATCTTCACTTCCCGAGGAGGGAGGGAAACATGGTGAAAACCCGTGTCCCTTGACAACTGACACAACCAGGACTTGAACCCAACCTGTGTGCCCTGAGGACTGTACCTGTTTCTCCCAGCCCCTCTCTGGCTATTTTGTCCTGGGTCCTGCGGGAGAATCTGGTCCTTGTTTACAGAACGTCTGACAGGTGCTGTACTGATGTGCATGACATTTCGTAAACAACAGCACTTTTTCTCCAGACACCACTTGAAGTTCAGTAGGGAATCAAAGTGGCTGGGAGGAGGCACCGTCCTTTGGGAAGTCATCAGAGGGTGCTCAGACCCGCAAGGACAGGGTTGCAGGTTGATGTTGATGGAATTTGCACCCTAGATGTCTTGGCTCTTTTTCTCTCTGAAACTTTAATCTCACTTTATCACGATTTAACCTCTGCTTCTTACTGAACCAGAAACCACAGTTTCCTGGGAAACCAATCCAGGCACTGACAGCATGTCTCCTTCTGTTTTGATGTGATTCTAAGTTTCTGGTTAATGGTATGCTTCTAGCAGGCAAGATGTGAGCGTTTGCACAGAGACCCTCCTTGGTGCTTCTGAGTGCAACAGATTCAACCATGTTTTCTGATGTTTTATAAACTCTGCTGTTTACAGAAGTCAGAAAATACCTCTTTCTTACTGAGAGAGGAAGCAGCCTGCGGCAGGTGGAAGAGGCAAGGCTGACAGCAGATATATCTCAGAGTTTCAATTGGTATTTTCCAGATAATAAAAATAAGGAGAACAACTGACTATGTGTCGGGCAGTTGTCAAGGGCTTTGCCTCTTCTCATCTTCACAGCAAATCTATGAGATTACAACTGTTAGCCCATTTTATAGATGAGGAAACTGAGGCATTGGAAGCTGAGAAACTCACCCAGCCAGGAGGTGGCAGAGCTGGAATTCTCTGAATCCAGAGTCCACATGCAAAGAAGAGGGAGGAGGGGGCTTTTCAGGGCTTTTCAGAAGGGGCTGCAGGACTCCCACATGGCTGGGGAGAACAGAGACCAAGGGTTTCGCTGTCTGAGAGGAAAGTGCCTTCAGGGCCCAGTGACTAATAACATCTGAAGCAGGAAAGATAGAAAGAGGCCAGGGTATGCTAGGCCTTGGATGCTATATCCAGGGGTTCCAATTTGCTGTTGTAGGCAATGGGGATGGACAGGAATCCAGCCTCACCCCTTACTGCTGAATCACTGTGGACTGGTTGTTTACTCTCTCTGGGCTCCAGCGTATCAGCCAAGGATACTTCCTTTCTAAGCAACAAAATTCTTGGCCCTAAACAGAAAATGCTAGTTTCACTTCCTTACAGCCCTTCACAGGTGAGCAGGGCCAGGCTGTCTCCCTGTGAGCCAAACAAAGGCACCCTAGCCCAAGGGTCAGGCGGAGGGGCCAGACAGGGCTCCCTGAGGCAGGCCACAGTGCATGCCTATAATAACAAAGCTCTGACAAACCTAGACAGCATATTAAAATGCAGAGACGTTACTTTTCTGACAAAGGTCCGTACAGTAAAAGCTGTGGTTTTCCAGTAGTCATGTATGGATGTGAGAGTTGGACTGCTGAAGAATTGATGCTTTTGAACTGTGGTGTTGGAGAAGACTCTTGAGAGTCCCTTGGACTGCAAGGAGATCCAACCAGTCAGTCCTAAAGGAGATCAGTCCTGAACATTCATTGGAAAGACTAATCCAGAAACTTAAGCTCCAATACTTTGGCTACCTGATGCAAAGAGCTGACTCAGTGGAAAAGACCCTGATGCTGGGAAAGACTGAAGGCAGGAGGAGAAGGGGACGACAGAGGAAGAGATAACTCAAAGGACATGAGTTTGAGCAAGCTCCAGGAGATGGTGAAGGACAGGGAAGCCTGGCATGCTGCAGCCAGGGGTCGCAAAGAGTTGGACACGACTGAGCAACTGAACAACAACAAAACAGAAAATGGATTTATTGGCTCACATATTTAAGCATCCAGGGGTCAAGGCTTCCGGTGGATCCTGATCTAGGATTCTAAAGGCACTGCCAGATCTCTCTCTCCATCCACTCCGTCTTTGGGGCTGTCTGCCCAACCCCCAGGCTCGGGTTTCCCCTTGTCGTGGTAGCAGACACAATCCCTTCCTCTCCACAGCACCCAGCCCTGCAGAGATGACAGAGCTGCATCCAGCATTCCCAGTATTTGAGTCTGGAGTCCTCTATGGCACATCTGGTACCTTATGCCCACGCCTCATGGTAACATGAGTGGGAAGGGAAGACGCAAGTCAGAGCTGAAAATCCAGAAGGGCAGAGAACCGCTTCCCCAGAGCAGAGACTTGATGCTGTGGGCTGAAGGGCCTGGGTCTGGGGGCTGTGGAGGGGAGCCAACTCATACCGTCCACTCAGATCAGACACAGTGCAGAGTGATGGGAGAGAACCGAAGTTCTTCAGCTACTGTGTCCATGGCCCTGCACTCAATAAAGGCCCCTGGCCTTCTGATCGGCATCTGGGAGAGGAGGGGCAGAGGGGAGACGCCTCTCGGGCTGCCCTGTGTGGGGTCTGGGCAGCTGATGGGCACCGGCTAGAGAGAGGGTACCGGTCAGGAAGGGGGCGGAGGCCCCGTCTTATGGGGACAGTGGATGGGCACCCACAAGGGGTGTTGGACAGGCAGGTCTGCAGCCTGGGGGCTCTCTGGGGTCAGCTGTTTGTCCAGGAGTCTCGGCAATGGAGAGAGAGCTCAGACTCAGGGTAGGCGGATGTGCCCAGGAGAGGTGTCTGGATTACCCCAGGGTCTCCGAGCAGGGGAAGGCAGGGCCGCGAGGACACCCTCCCTTTGCCGCGCCTTCCTTGACCCGGCCGCCCAGACATCGTGGACATCAAACCAGCTAACATGGAGGACCTCACGGAGGTGATCACCGCGTCCGAGTTCCACCCGCATCACTGCAACCTCTTCGTCTACAGCAGCAGCAAGGGCTCCCTGCGCCTCTGTGACATGCGTGCGGCCGCCCTGTGTGACAAGCACTCCAAACGTAAGTGCGCATGCCCGCCAGCGCCCCCGCCGGCCATGGATGTGGGCGGGGCCTCCTGGGGTGGGTGGGTGGAGCTTGGGGGTGTCCTGACTGGGCTGGGAGCGGGGCGTGGACTCAGTGCTTCTTTAGTGCTGCTGGCAGGGGACACGCGGTCCTGCCACCCACTGCCCCCACCCCAAGTCCCAGCAGACATGAGGGCCAGGGAGTGAGCTGGGCACTGGAAGCCAAGAATGGACCACACTCAACTGTCACCTCCTCCAGGAAGCCTTCCTTGATCCCCACATTGGGCCAGGTCCCTCTTCCATACCTCCCAGAACCCCCAAAGCTTTCTGCTCACGACTACACACCGCGCAGAATTTCTGTGCAATTCCACCTCCCCCAGCAGGCTGGGTCACCTCATACTGGAACCCCCCAGAGAGCAGCCTCGGGGTTGCCACAGAGGTGTCAGGGGATTCAGGGATGGACGAGGTCCAAGGGAACTTCATTTGATGACCAACCACCACAGGACAGCTCACACTGGACAGAGCCAGGCGCCCAGCCACGCTCTCTACCGGCGTTAGCTCATCTTGTCACACGAGCTGTCCCGGAGCCCTGCACGGAAGGTGAAACAGGCTCCAGAGACGGGCCCGAGGCCACTCACACTGAAAAGCGGCAGGGTGGGACTTGAGCCTGGGACCCTGGCTACCCCGACTGGTGCTCCTCGCCCCCAGTCTGGGCAGCTGTCCACTAACGCGGTGCTCCCCAGAGGCACCTGAAGGCAGCGGGTCAGCCCACGAGGCCCTCCCTGGATGAACTTGCAGGAGTAGCAGGGGGGCGGGAGCAGACGTGGCCCCGGTCAGGAGGGCGGGGAATCTAGTTCATCCCTATCCATCCCGGTGCCTCCAGCAGGATCTGGAAATGTTGAATGAATGAACGAACAAACAGTGAGTGAGTGGTGACCAGTTAGCCGCTGGAGGGCTTTATCAGTGTCTCAGTGAAGGAGGCAGAGGGCTGTTGGGAGGGACAGAGTTACTTTCTTCCCCCGGGGGCCTGGTTTCCCTGGGCAGCCAGAGAGGACAGTGCTGCTCCAGCTCCCAGGGACTCAAGACTCGGGACTCTCTGTAGCCGCCAGCTCCTTCTCCCTCCTTGGCCGAGTTCTGTTCCCTCGTCTCACCCCGTCACCCTTCTCTGGGTTCACCCACACTGCACACACTCTCCCAGCCTTCCTCACATTCACAGCCAGGCGGGATGTCCGCTGTCTGGGTCTGTACTTAGTACTGGAGCCGCTGACCCCCATCCACAAGCCCAGGGCTCTTCCAGCAGAGCTCGTGCGTGGTCCTGGGAAAGGCCCCTCCCTGGGCACCACGCCTTCTGAGGGCTGAGCTGGTGGCATTCAGGGTGGGGAGGGCAGATCTCCCTCTGGATGGAGCTGGGGCCACCAGGGCACTCACGTGCCACACGGTGGGCTGCCATGCTCTTGACACTGTCCCTGGGGTGCAGCAGGAACCAACGGACCGACAATAAACTCCTAACTAGGCGATATGATGCTGAGAGGCGGTGAGTGGTGTAAACAGCCACCAGAAAGGAAGAGCGCAGGGAGGGTCATGTCAGCTGCGCTGCTAGAGGCAGTTACAGTGGAACAGTCTCTCTGAGGCGCGAGGGGGTGCACCATGCAGAATCTTCTAGAAGAAGGACACGGCAGAGGCGAAGGCTCCGAGATGGGAAGGCACCTGTGTGGCTGGATGATGCCGTCTGTATAATGGAATATTGTTCAGACTTTAAAAAACTGACTTAGGAGGGGTTTAATGACATGGGGAAATGATTATGTTGGAAAATTCTGTGGGAGCGAAAAGCAGGATGATGACTACTTCACCAAAAGAATGGAAACAGAAAATCACGGGAAGAAATACGCCCAGAAATTGTTTCTGAATGTGGGTTCAGGAAGGAACAAATTTAGGGAGAATAGGGATGGTTTTGTGCCACACACACCCCCCCCGCCGCCCCCCGCGCTGCTTGAATGACAGTCTCCGTGGGTTGGACGTGGAAGTCAGAGACCCTCTTGGCTTCTAGAACTGTATCAGCTGGTTCCCTGGGATCTGAACAAGCAGCCGCCCACCAGGACAGCCGTCACTCATCCGTTTCCCGAGCCCAGGCACACACACAAAGATTCCAGGCACGTCATTGTCACACACCGGGTGGTGTAGATTTGCATGTGACTCAGCCCGCAAAGTCAAGTGCAAGAGCTGTAACTTTATTTCAGTGACTCAGCTCCATTGAATTTCTCACCCCCCATCTCCGGGGTGAATGCAGTGAGCACTCATTAGGGCCACGGAGAATTCTGCATCTTCAGCAGGTTCCAGAAGGCTTTGACAGGGCCAAGATATGAAGGGAGGGACATGGCACCATCCTGACCCCCTGGGGCTTTTTCAGTGCCTGGTGACATTGAGGGCAGGAAATTTCCTTGCTGAGGACATTTTTGCATGGATGCAAAAATTCTGCTTTAGGCATAAACGATCAGAGATGAAGTTGGCCTTTAATTTTCTTTGCCTGCAGTCTTTGTCCAGTTTTATTAAGAGGATTGTTCTCTTGTAAAATGTGCTGGCTGCTTTCTCTCTTTTTTCCCCTGGAACAGTTAGTATAATATATCTGCTCCTTGAAGTCTTAGTAAAACTCACATGTAGATCCTTTTTGTTTATTGGTTTATATGGGTTTTCTAAGGGAATTAATTTTGTATTAAAATGCATTTTTCTAGAATTTTCTTTTCATTCTCAAACTCCATATTCTGCACAGAAACTTTCTCATTAATGCCAGTGACAGGATTGTTCACCAGGCTCTGGACAATACTTTGCAGCTTCTGTTTTCCTTTCTTCATCTCATTTGCCACAAGTCCTGAGTCTAGGAAATACCTGCCCTACTGTCTGCATTCTCCAGATGGTGTATGTTCTTAGTTCTCCTGAGAAATTAAGCAAGCAGATGATTGCCAATTTGGCTGTTATTTTTAATCAGAACAAATGGGCTGTTATGGAGCCAAATCTTGTCTTAAAGAGACTTGGAGGCTAGGACCTATTCTTTACATCTCACTTCTACTCATTTAGTTACTATTCAGAACTCAGGGGATGGCTGATCGTGACATCCCAGAGATGAATGGTCCAGGCATCATTTTCCCAGTGGGTAAGACCGTGATTTTCTGTTCACTGAAGGAAGGGCGTCCCAGATCACAAGTGGATCATGTGTTGACTTCTGTCATTGGGCAGATGAGGAAACCGAGGCTCAGAGAAACAGTGGCTTCCCCAGGCCCCTCCCCATCGTCAGGGGCAGAGCCAAGGGGCACAGGCTGCTGCCCAACCCACAAATTCCTGTCCTTCTCCAACGCACTAGAAAGCTGGGTCTTTTGTCTGCTAGTCATAATGACAGCGTAACCATGGAAACAACTGTGCTTGAATCCTCAAAATAGACAGTCACTTCTGCTTTTCACAGCACAGAGCCTGCCAAAAGGAAGGGTCGTGCCAAGAGACACGAAGATTCCCTAGAATAGGCAGTAATGACAGTCACTCCCCACGGTGGGCCCCCTACTCCACGCCAGCCCAGTACTGGGTGAAGCAGGAACCACAGATGACGTTGGTCCAGGGCTTGCTACACATCAGGTGCTGCTCAACGTTTACATCTCATTAAGTCCTGAGAGCTGCGCTATGATGCAAGTCCTCGATTATTGGAGGAATAATTTTATAGATGAGGAAACTGAGTGTATTGGTTTCCCGTGGCTGCTGTAACAAATTGCCATGAACTCAGTGGCTTAAAACAACATGAATATATTCTTTGACAGTTCTAGAGAGCAGAGGTCCAAAATCCAGTGTTGTCAGGCCTGCATTCCTTCCAGAGGCTTCAGGGGAGAATCGGTCTCTTTATCTTTTCCAGCTTCTAGAGGTCACCTATGATCCTTGGCTCGTGGCCCCTTCCGTCTTCAAAATGCATCACTCCAACCCCCGCTTCCATCCTGTCATCTCTTCTTCTGCCTTTGATGGTCCTCCTTTCCTCTTATGATTACCAGTGGGCTGGCCCACCCGAGAGAGTCCAGGATAATCTCTGCAACTCGAGATCCTAAACTTGCATATGCAAAGCCTTTTGTCATGTTAGGTAACACACACACAGGTCCCAGGGATGAGGATGTGGCCATCTTTGGGGGCTGTTATTGTTCATCACAGCTGTTATTGTTTATCTGAGAGGCACAGAGAGGTTAAGACATTCCCCTAAGGTCACACAGCTAAGCAGAGCCTATTAGAGGCTCCAGAAGTCTCATGCCTATCAGCCTGTGCACTTTCTCACTTACTTTTCACAGAAACCTTGAGAACATAGAATGTTCATGGGAGTTAGGGGTGAACCAGGTTCTTTTAAAGGGCCTGGATGGGATAGATTCTCAGAACTCACCCCTACTAATGGATCTGGGGTAGGAAGACCAGACTCTTCTGCTGGGGAGGCTCCTGATGTCTGGGGACGAGTCAGGGCAGAGCCCCCAGAAGAGGGCACAGCCAAGTGCAAAGGCCCTGCAGCTGGATCCTGAGGCCCACGTGGCAGGAGTGGAGTCAGGGAAGGCGGGGGGTGAGGGCAGAAGTGTATGGAGTGAGGAGGGTCCACGTGAGAGGGCTTTCCAGACCTTGGTGGGATGCTCTGGGTTTACTCTGAAAGCACGGGGACCACGGGTGCTTTGGCCTGGCTGTGTTTTAATAGGATCCATGGCCCACCCCCTTGCTGATCCTGGAGCCTAAGGTGGGACTCACCTGGACACACGTGTTCATCTTTCAAGTGGATGTTCTCATAACATCAGAGCAGAGGAGGGACCTGTTGCTAGGGCAGCCAGGAGCATGGACCGGGCAGGACCCTTCTGTTCCTTCAGGGCAGTCTCCTCCCAGGCTCTCCACCTCCGCAGCCCCACAGCCCCACCTCTGTCCGTCCGTGTTTCTTTCCAGGGTCTCACTGCCCTGCACCATTGTCCCAGAGCATGTGGCTCAAGCCAGGGCCATTCT